ATTAACAGGCAATCGTTCGATGGGCTGAATTGCACAAAACGCATGATCGCACCTGCTAGTCTGGTGTGCGTTGCCATTTATTTTTTTAAAAATGGCGAAAAATTTCGCATTTTTGTTCCCTGACCAGTTCAGAAAAATTTAGGTTTTGCAATGAGTACAAAACTGCGAATAAAACAAATAGTTACTTATCCCATCGACTGGAATTCACAGGAAAAGTTCCTAAATTAATAGAATTATCTTTTTCCAATGCGCAACGATTACGCAAGTTAGCAGCAGCTCAGCGTCACCATATGAATTTACGCCAAAATAACTAATAAAATAGGATCATCGTCTTTGCCTGGAAAACTGAGGTACAATACTGCACCTTAACGGGGTTTACGATGATGCTTTTGATGTAACGTGCGTCCACCATTCTACATGTTCTTAAGAAGCCTTCATATCTACCTGCTACAGAGCAGCATACTAATTTGTATAAAAATTAAGTAAAATTGAAGATTGTACCTTCTTCAGAAGTACAACCAAAACATTCACTAGGATTGTGGGGAAGAGCCTCTAATGTCGATGACAGAGACTGCTGAACACCTGCCTCTTGCAAACCGAGAGGGACTGACAGCTGGCTGCATTGATTCCTTAAAATACTGCCCGCGGTGTTCAGTGCTCCGCAGTGTCCATCAATGAAACCCCGCTGATATGCCATCTGGAAATGCTTCAATTTGGTACTCCATAAAAACCAAGATGGATAAATGGCCAATAAAAACCGTTCGGCACAAATGCATTTTACGCAACCAAATAATTTTGCGCGTTTTTGCGTATTTATGCAAATACAAAAACACATACTGGCAAGAATTTCTGTATGTACGCATTTATAAGTCCGTGCATTCGCATTCTGTCCCTCACTTTCAACGCGCAACTAGACAGGCTAAGGAGCGAAAACATGTTCCCACTCCATGTATGGTCCTCCCACTTTAAAATGATCGTTCATGCATGCCTAGGTTCTACATACAGACGTCTGGAATAACATTTCAACTATTTTTGCACGGACCAAAGTGCAAAGCAGTGAAAATCATTAATGAGGAGTCGTTCGATAAACGGAACTGCACAAAACGCATGACCACACCAGTTATTCTGGTGCGCGTTGCTATTTACTTGTTCTAGGCAGATGTTGCAAACAAACGAGATGAACGTGTCGGTTCTCGAATCCCATTTCAGACTGAAGTAAAAAACGAACCACAGCTGAAAAAAAAAAAACCCACTACGAAAAAACTTACCGCATTCCAAACCGCTGAATCACTGGCACACTTCTTAAGCTTTTCGTTTAATACATTCACAGTGTGGATCAGCCTGCAAAATCATCGTTTTTCGAAAAGACGGTAAAAGAAAAACAAGGCCCCACAGATCAACAATAAATGGCCAGCGAACCGTCTGCCGGTGCGAAGATGCGTTTTCTGCGTCGCTAACGGCACTGTTTTTTCCGGCAGATGTTTCCAGCTAAAAGAATGAGACTGGATCCCAGGACTGTCAGGAAGCATCCCCTTAAAATTTCATTTTTCTAGTTCTTCAGGTTCCCGAATTAGCAACTTACCCGGAAAAAAATTTCATGAGCCCATACGTAGGAACCACGCTAAACAGAGGGCTGGGTTTGAGCTCATTATTACCTACGTGGACAGGGAACACCCTCTTAAAATTCCAATTTTCTAGCTTCTAATGTTCTTGAGTTAGCAACTAACCTGAAAAAAACTTTCACGACCCGTACCTGGGAACCACGCATACCCGGGGGTTAGGCTTGGGCATATTAATACGCACTTGGGCAGGGAACGTCCGCTTAAAATCCCAGTCTTCTAACTTCTCAGATTCCCGAGTTGGCAACTTACCTACCAAAAACTTTGGCCGGCCCATAAAAACGCGAGAAAGAGTGTCCATTTTAAGGAATGGGGCTTGTACGTGCATGCAGATTAAGTCCCCAAAGTTTCAGGCCTGCAGCTTTTATGGGTCGTGATATGAAAAACTGGTACAGACACACACACACACACACACACACACACAAACAAACAGACAATCCCTATGTGTTTTTTGTATTGCATAAATGCAAAAAACGCATAAAAAATAACAAAGTTTCTAAATTCAACTATTACCTGCAAACATCCTGCGTATGCTGACTTCGGATGCTCATAATCTGTGCATATAAAGCCTCTTTGCTATTTTCCTGTGCTGTAAGCGGCGCCGAAATGTGATTTTCCTGTTCACCGCTGGTATGATTCAATTCGCATTTCTTTAAGAAACATTGATTTGAACAGAAACAGCAATAAACAGCAGGAATTCCCCATGATAATTGGAAAAGACGTTGATCTCATGTCTTGAAGTGCAAAAATTCACAGCTTGATAAATTCTGTTTTAACGAGCATAAAAATACAGATGTGAAGCATA